TCTACTAAAATGTTGTTTGTGGCTTTTGTATTTGTGTTGGTGGGTGAGAATGGCCTGGAATCTTTCTGCTTTCCTATGCTTTTGTCTCATTTTGTTATGAAAGTGATTCAAGTTTCACAAAATGACCCAGGACAGTGTTTTCCCCCTTGCCATTGTTTCAAAGCTACCCGTGCAGGCTGTGTTTTGTGAGGGCTGGAGTTCACCCTGTAAGTCACTGGATGCTGCTTCCTTTGTGGGAAGCATTTCAATGACAGATTCTCTTCTCTTGGACTGACCACACTATCTTGATTCTGTTTCCACATGTGTCTTAAACTATAGTCTCATCTAATCTCCCAAAATTGCATTGGTATAAACTTGCTCATAATAGTCTTTTGCCATGTTTTCCTCTGTGGCTACACCTCTTCTTTGCCCTCATTTGCATTCCAAATATTTTTATTTACTTTATTTATTTACTTTAAAAGTATTTGGATTAGATATTATTATTATTATTAGTTTGCGGTAGGAGGGGCTGAACTCAGGTCTTGGCATGTGCTCCATCGGCACTCTGTCCCGGAGCTGCATCCTGGTCCTTTGAGACGTTTATTTTGAAAAGGCCTTGCTCACTTTACTCGGATTAACCTTGAACTCACTATGGAACCCAGGCAGGCCTTGAAGTTGCAGTGCCTCAGTCTCCTGACTCGCTGAGATTACAGACTAATCTGTCACCACACCCAACTTATTTTTAATTTTAAAGCTCCATGACCAAAGCGACTTAGGAAGGAAAGGGCTTCTTTGACTTACACTTCCACATCACGGGGTCGGAGCCTGGAGGTAGGCACGGAGCCGGAAGCCGGAAGTGGAGGAACACTTTTAGTCGTTGTGCTTTGCTAACAAGCACCTTCATGTCACTGTGCATTTCCTGTCAATGGATCGTATTCTCCATGGGTGGTCAGGGCTGTCTGAAAGGCAGTTGCAAGAACGGTTTTTGTGATCACAGGGACCAAATTTGTACACATGTGCACTTTTCTCTCTTGTCCTTTTGCAAAGAATGCCAGGCAGGTTCTGTTGACACCTGTTAATCATGGTAAACAGGCCTCGGCTCATGATGAGTGAATACGTAAACAAAGGGCGTGAGAACTGTGTCCGTGCCACTTCCCCACGGATGGGGCATGAGTTTCTGCAAGGAGAGAATGCTCTCATGGTGCCCATGAAAGTGAGTCTGCCTTTGTCCACTGCACATGTGTGAGGCCTGTCCTCAGGACCACAACCACGTCTCCAGGAATGGAGCTCAGGTGGACGTCAGGGGAACAGGCACTACCTCAGTTCACAGAGAACACAGCTCCGGGGGAATAGGAAATTGCCTCTAGTGAGTACTGTAAAGGACCTGAGAGGCAAGCAAGCTGGGGGAGGGGCCACAACACAAGCAGCTGCTGTTTAGCCTACTTGGACATCTTGTCTGGTTTAAACCCGTTGTATCTGTGTGGAGTTGATTTCCTTGTTGACCACCGGTGGCTTAGGTCTTCAAATGCTAAAGGAGAACCAGTGGAGAGCCTTGGGACTGACCTTCGAAGGGAGTCTAGAGGGGAGGGGCTGGGAGGGAGGTGCTACGAGGGAAGGTTGCAGGAAGCTTTTGTTTGTTCAGTCACCTCTTCCTACCAGATCTTTCCAGAGCTCATCTTTGCCAAATGGTGCCGTGTTTGAACAAAGACTTTCCCTTATGATTCTCCTGGACCAGTAAGTAGCCACAGGGAAGGCTCCTTACTTGGACACTTACCAGAATTACCCACCTTCTGACATAATTGGAAAATCACAAATTGCCCAACTTTCTTGAAACCTATCATTTAAGACATCGAACAACGCGTAACACGATGACTGTGATCCCCGAGATGAGGTGAGCAACTGGGCATATCAACCTTGGCCTAGATTCCTTCCAGGCAGCCTGAGGAGCAAGCCAAGTCTAGCAGCTGTGTGGAGGTGAGGACTGATGACCGGGGCTCAGAGGCCAAGGTTCGCAGAATTTCTCAGTACGTGAGAGAACGGTACGGCAAGGAGAAAGTTCCAGAAAGGTGCAAAGCCTTGGCAACTCAACATTGATCAGCACATACGTGAAGCTCATGTGGCTGGTACAACTTCTTAAGAAAGACCTATGAGGAGAGCCTACACTACTGACTCCACTTGGACTTGCTCAAGGTCTCCCCCTTTCTTCTAGAAAGTTCCTTTACCTATTCTGCTTGGTGGATAGGGTTGACTAACAAGGCCCTGGCAGGCAGAACCAGCTTCAGCTCCTACAGGTGGAGAAGGAGAGAAACATAAAGCTTGGGTGAGGTGTGTTCTACGGAAGGTTATAGGGAGGCCCCTAGTTTACAAACAACCAAACTGATCCACACCCTGGACCTGTTATGGAATGTTCACAAGACTTTTATTATTTTGTCCTCAGAGTCACTGAAGAAACTGGGGTAGAGACTCCAAAACCTTGTCCATTATGCACATTAGTCTACTGGAAGTGACTCTGTTTGACTTCTGGACAGTAGAGAGAACAGCAAAAGATGGTGGGTGCTGCCTTCCTCCAGGACCCTGTCCACATAGAACCACTATGGTACGTATGGGGGGCCAGGCCACCATTCAGGGGGCCAGGCTACCATCCAGAGGGGCAGACTACCATTCAGGGGAGCAGGCTACCATCCAGGGGAGCAGGCTACCATCCAGGCCTTTGGAAAGAGGGGGAAAAGGTAGCTCCTTGATGGATTTCCAGAAACTTCTGTTGTGTTTTTAGCACACTGCAGTAGCCCAGAGCAAACTCAGGGTGTGAGGACTTCCCTAAGCTGCCACCCTGAACATCTAGGTAGGACTGTGTCATGAAATATTACTTTAACTAGGCAAAGATGTGTTACATTTTTCTATGTTGTGGACTACTACTTTAACTTTGTAAAGGTGTGCTACATTTGTTTAATTATGTAAAGGTTTGTTGCTGTTTCAGTACATCTGCCTAAGGCACCTGACTGGTCTTATAAAAAGCTGAACGGCCAATAGCTAGGCAGGAGAGGGATAGATGGGGCTGATGGGTGGAGAGAATAAGTAGGAGGAGAAATCTAGGTGAGAGAGAGAGAGAGAGAGAGAGAGAGAGAGAGAGAGAGGAAGGAGGAGGAGGAAGAAGGAGAAGGAGAAGAGGAAGAAGAGAACGAGGGAGAAAGAGAGGGAGATGTTAGGGGCCAGTCAGGCAGCCACCAGCCAGCAGGTACATACTAGGACATACAGAAAGAAAGGTAAAAAGTCCCGAGGCAAAACACAGATGAAGAGAAACAGATTAGTTTAAGTTAAAGAAAATAAGCTAGCCAGAACAAGCATAAGCTAAGGCTGAGCACTCCTGACTATGGGACTGTGGCTCTCGGACCTTTCCTCACAGGCTACTGTGGTTCCTGCCCATCTTTAGACAACAGAGTCCAGGAACTGCACACCCAGTACCTAACTGGACCACCTTAGCATCCATGGGACTCCAGGGAAAGCATGCCCCCATGTTCTAGAGGTGAGAAGAAAAACACAGGAGTCCTTTGGTGGTGGTTTGAATGAGAAGGACTCCCATAGGCTCACAGGAAGCAGCACTATTTGAAAAAATTAGGATATGCTGCCTTGTTGGAGTAGGTGAGGCCTTGTGTTGGAGGAAGTGTATCACTGGGAATGAGCTTGGGGGTTTCAGAAACCCAAGCCAGACCGAGGATTTCTCTCTTCCTGCAGCCGGCCAATTCAGATGTAGAATTCTCCACCACTGCTCTGGCACCTTGTCTGCCTGCGTGCCGCCATGCTCACCGCCATGAGATAATAGACTGAACCTCTGAACTATAAGCCAACTCCAGTGAAGTGTTTCCCTTTATAAGAGTGGCTGTGGTCATGGTATCTCTTCACAGCAACAAAACCCTGAGACACTTTTCCTTTGTCAACACAAACACGAATACTTCCTTTTGACGGAGATACAGTGAATTTCAAAACCATCCTGTCATGAATGGGCCGTGAGGGCTGTTCTCCTGTTTGGTGACCACCAAATGGGGCTTAAACCCCATGGTTCTGCTGTGATTTGAGTGTGTCCCCCACGCATGCATGTGTTGGAACCGTGGTTCCTCAATATGGCAGTTTGGCGGGGTGTCTGGGTAACAGGGGTGGAGTCCCCATGGATGGGTGAATGCCTTTCTCCCCAGATGTCACAGGACTAGTTTAATGATGCCATTCCTAGTTTGTTCTAAAACAAGCCCATCTTTATGCGTGGTCTCTGTGGCACAGACCTAATGTCATCTTCCTTCTCTGGTGAGTCGAAGCAGCATGGGTCCCTTGCTAGATGTGGCTGCTACCTCTTCTCAAACGTTCTGTTACAACAACAGAAAACGGACTACACATCCTATCAGTCTGGCCAATGTGTGTTGAGTATCTTCTGGAAGCATTGAGGAGTCTTCTAATGTACCGCACATGCTAACAACCCCCCTGCTGGAGGATAATCAGATGGCTTTACCATCCTCCACACTCCCTGGGTCTTCATGATAAAGAATATGATGGACCACTGTGACGGCTACTCCTGGTTGTCAACTTGACTGTATCTGGAAAGAGCTATAACAGAGAAATGGAGGGCACGCTTGTGATCTGGACCTTGAGGCCTGAGGACACACGCCTTTAATCCAGATCTTGAGGCTGGAAGGCGCACCTTTAATCTGGGCCGCCCCTTCTGTTAGAATGCTCTGCTTTATAAGGACGACAGAAGAAGGAAGAGTGTTCTTAGCTTACTTGCCCTCACCTCCATCAGCCCATTCATTCCTTCTTCGAAATCCTAGCAAACCAGCCTCGTGGGACTGAGAAGCTATTAGATTCTTGGACTTTCCATTCATAACTAGACATTGGTGGACTGCAGCCTGGAAATCATTCCAATAAGTTCCCCCTCCACACACACATGCATAGAGATTCATTTCATTAGTTCTGTGATTCTAGAGAACCCTGACTAATTCGACCACTCGTCAGTGACATCTTTTTCAAACGTTTGCTTTATTGAAATTCTTTCTTACAAAAGGTCTGAAGTATTTTAGGCCTAGTTTCCATTAGTCCCTGAAATACAGTCCACGGTCATTTCCATGCCCTCATAGGTAGGTCTGTAAACTATTCGACTTTTATTTTTATGGTTAAAATACTTTTCAACATCTCTTTTATAGATATAAAACCAAACTTGTGTGTCCCCCCCCCCATGTAAAGACCAAGTGAGAAAGTTACCTAAGTCTTCACCAGTTGGGTAGCTGGGCTCTTTCCCGGAATTATCAAAGTGATATTTATGCACTTTTAAAATATCTTTTTTTTCTAAATAAAGACAACAACCTTTAGTATATCTTTTAAAACATAACCATTGTGATGTGCTGAGCTATGTGATAAGGAGCGCCACGCTATACAGGCATACATACATCGGCTCTGGAAGAAGATGCATGAGTACATGCATGTTATGTAAACATAACAGTTGGTCAGATCATGAGGACAGTAGTGAGTAATGCAGCTTGCAAGCAAGAATGATCAAGATCACATATAGGCTTAGTGGCCAGCCAGGATCTCTCGGGAGAACTGTACCTGGGGGTACCTAGGTCTTCCTCACTCCCAGCAAGATAACGCTCACCTCATGGGATACGTGACTGTGTCTGTGGCCCTGCTATAGCCAGACAGGTCTGCCTTCAATTGCTATTCCCTAGCCCCCCATCCTGTCTGATCTTATACGTACTTGCTATAAGATCTGGAGTACACAACTTTCCAATAACCAATGTCTACAGCCCAAGCTTGTTGCTCAGGCCTAATAAGGGTACACCAAGGTTCATGGGGGAACCTTGTCTTAGTCTTGATCATCCCTGGTCTTCTAACTTGGAGGCCAGATGAATGGGCCAGGTGAGCACTACCTGGAGGCAGGGTCCTGCCCTGATTGCCTTGTATTAACACAGCAAAGTGGTTCAGTGATGTCAGCACCCAAGATACAACGTAGCACAGCACAGCAGTCACTCCCTCTCTTCCTGGCTCCAGCCGGGTTTCTGGCTTCTTCTGGTAGCTGGAATTTTCTTATGTTTTCTCTGCCCCTTCCTCAAATTAACATAGAGTGTGAAGAGACAGAGGAAAAGAGGGGAAACAGAGTCAGTAAGGGTTTCACATGCAGGGGAGGTGGATGGTGAAACTCTGGAATTAAGGAATTACCTGCAAAGCCAATGACCCATAACCCCTCCCACCTCCATTGCAGCTCTTGCCTGTGACATCATATCAGCATGCATCTGTAACCAAGAGACCATCTATAACACAGATTCGCTAGGCCCGTGAATAGTCTTCAGATAGCTGAGCATACTGGTGGTTCAGCTGACTAGCGCCCCCCATGTAGAAACCCCAGTGGAAAGGAAAGACAGAACGTAGGTCCCGCTGAGTACTTTGGAGCAGTCGTCTGGAAGAACAGTGACAGCAGGTTGCCTTGGAACCAGAGTAGGGCCGGCTGGCAGCAGGGTTGGGGATAGTGCTGAACTGGTCATGAACCACGGTCAGGTGGCTCCAAGCAATCCTCCTACCTCCCCAGAGACACAGGAGTGTGGTCGCAGCAGGGCGCTGGCCTTGGGCTGCACCCACTTTCAGAAGGTGGTACACGTCACCCCAGCATCCTCGGCGTGCCCACAGTTTGTCACTCCCCATTTGGCAAACTGGCAGTGGAAGATGGAGTGCTCGGTCCCCTTGCAGTTCACGTCGTCCATCCAAATCTTCCCTGTGCCTGGAGAGAGAGGTGCACACAGCTCCTTAGCAGCTATTCCAGAGGCAGAAAGGAAATGACATGACTGTGGCCTGTTTGTCCCCGCAGGCTCTCTCTAATCCGGTAGAGGCCATCTTCCCTCTCTGCTCTACCGAGAATGCATCTTTATTATAGCCTTAACTTCCTATGGGTGGACCAGCAATAAGAGATGATATTGATGTTTGTATCTTCAATGTGTCAGGCCTCTTACAGATGGGAGCCTCTATGGTCCTCACCATTATACTCTGGGATAGATAGTAAGAAACACTTACGCACAGAGAGCCATTGGGAGCAGATTACACAGTTTGTCACAGGCAGGGTCTAATTTCCAACTCAAATCTTGCCACCTAGGCCAAGATTGACCTTAATGACTGACTCTCCCTGACACTGAGATTCAGTACCTTGAAGCTGGTATGGATGAACAGTTTGGCAAGGCCTAATCAGAAGGGTAATGTCAGACAGACCCTGGATTATCCCGTGGCCCAGAACTGGTATCTTAGAACCAACATTGCTACAATGGTTCCATTCTGGGAGTCCAAGACCATAGTTCCAGAAAGATAAAGGGTCTCCAAATCTGACATTATAGTCAGACATCCTCAAAACATTAAATCATTGGATTAGTCCCTCTAATACAGAGTCCCTAAGACTTGCAGCTAGGAATGGGCCAGTCTGCTGGTCTGAAGGTGACCACACATGGAGAGCCTGGAGCTTTAGTGGGTTGTCACAGAATAGCGTCCGAGCTCCAAATGGTATTAATGTGGCACTGGTATCTTTCTAGAATACCAGGGCTTAGGGCAGCTGGGATAACCTTCCAGAGTGAACAGAGGGCTTGCCTGTGAGGAAAAGGAAGCAAGCTGTGCGAATTACCCTGGGCTCCTACTGATGAGCTGGGCAGCAAGGGCCTGGGGGTGGTGGTGCCAGTGAGCTCTTTGTGTTGATGGCTATGCCTGGTTCCAGATGCTGGCGGCCTTCTAGAAGGATGACTAACGCCATGAGTCCCATGGAAGCAGTAGGGTGTTTGTATCACCAGAACTTGTAAGATATGCAGAACGATGGGTCCCACCCTGTCCTGCTAAGGCAGAACCTGCGTTTTCAGGGAAGCTGAACTCTGCTACTTCGTAAGCCCTGGTGACAGCAGCAAACGCAAGCCCGCACCGCACCATGCAGCATGCCTCAACCCAGGGCTCAGCACCATGGCAGGGGTACGCTTTAGTTTTCTTAGTGGGAGGAGTCTTCCAGGATATGGGATTTTTCCTGTGAATCCTGGGCAAACCTGCACTGCTGCTTGCCCCAGCACCCTGATTGGTTAGTCCTACGATGTGTAGTATAGTATGAAGCGGAAGTGTTTCCCTCACAGGGCCTTGTTTTAAGCATTTGTTTCTTTGTGGTAGCCCTGTTTGGGGAGGCTGTGGAACCTTTAAGAGGTGGGGCCTATTGAGCAAAAGGAAGTAGGTCACTGAAGTCCTGGCTTGTTGGGAGCAGTGAGACCCCAGATCCTGAATGTCTTGTAATCCCCTGATCTGAGTGCCTACAGCTGCTCTGAGCACGAGACCTTCAGGAGTTCCTGATGGCAGGAGAGTGGTTTCTGGTGGGTTTGACTGGGGCGTGGCTATCTCTATATAATCTGCCCCTGAACACAAGAAAGGGGGCATTCTTGGGGAATTCAAGGATGACCCGTGTCGCTGTCTCTCTGTCTGTGTGTGTCTGTGTATTTTAATCTTCAGCCCCCTTGCCCGAAGCTCGCGAACTGGGTGCCAGCGCACAGAGCACAGACATGGGGGCACGGTGCATGGCACAGGCTCTGGAAGTTATATGCACCCCCTGGCTCCAGCCTGATTTCTCTGTTTCCCCATCCACTAGAATGCAAGAGGGGCCACCTCCCCACTACCACTAGGAGCGGTTGTCACCAAGCTTTCCCGACCAGGATGAGCTGCAACTCTCTGAAGCCAGGCTTTCCTTCCTTGAGTTGTTTCTGTACAGGATTTTTTTGCAACAGTAATAAAAATATAATGAATACAACAGAGGAGCATAAAGCACAAGGCTGAAGGTTTTAACCCAGGTTCCAGTGTCACTGGCCTTGTCACCCCGCAGCAGTCAACAAGATGTTTCTGTATTGGGAAGGGCTTTGGTATCCATGGTAGCCAATAGGAGGGGTAGCCAGGGACTAGACCTGTAACTGACCTCCATCCTGTGTCCTCCCCCACAGCCAGATGATCCCTCCTTTTTTTTTTTAAGTGGAATCCTTGAGACTATGAAAACCCCTAGTTTTGTCACCCCTCCTAGACCCACCCACGACATCACTTTACATAGAAGCTCAAGGGACCGACTAAGCCACGGTGCTCTTGATGAAACCAACTACATGAATGAAGCCGCTTAGACACGTTCCATGGAGATGTCCAGTATCCTCTGCCAGAGCATTGCCACGCAGTGAATCCAGGACAGGACGAGGAGTAGGGAGGGGCCTCCTTTCGCCGTCTGCTTGGGCCCTGTCTTCACCAGAGCCTTTATCTGGCTCTTACACAATAAAGCCCTTTGAGGCCCAGCAATAGCTTGCAGATTAAACGTCTCCTGGAAAGCGCATCACTTCACAAATTACCCAGGAAAAGGCGGCAGGCCCCAGAGCTCTGCGGGATTAGTCACACCCAAAGCGAATAAAGGGGACTAACAAATAAAGAACAGGCCAAAGACCGTGCATCCCAAATGTGCGTGCAGGATGTGGACACTGGAAGCCCAGCCTGGGGGCTCTGCCAGGACTGGCCAGTGTCCAGCCTCAAGAAGGCCAGTACACTTGGAGCAGGGTCATCTCAAGAGTAGCCCCCAAACTGCAGCTCTGACAGGCATGGGGCAGACATCTGTGTCCCCCAGCCCAGGTCACAGAAGCCAGTGCTCTGAAGACACCAGGCACTCATCGTCACCTCTGGCTACACAAGGTGAGGTACCAGGATCAGCCTGGAAGCTTGTTAGGGCTTTATTTTGCCCTGGGTGATCCAGGGATCTATTTAGGTCTGAGGAGCCCTGTGCAGGTTAGGCAGACTCCACCCTGGTTGTGTCTCTTGAGGTTCACAGTAAAGCTCCAGGGCCAAAGGGCTCAGCACAGAGCCTCCTGGTGAACAGAAAACAAAGCAAATGGGTGCTTCTTACCATGGGGTGAGATTAAGACCCAGCCCAGGCTGGTCTCATAGAGCACTAGGTTGAAGGTGACCATTCGTTCACCAAACAAATAATCCAGGGATCTCCCCTCCAATCAGTGCTCTTATGGGTATTTAGAATAAACCAATGAACAGCGTGGGTGACAGAGACATGCAGAGTATGCCACAGGAGTTAAAGCGTGTGTTCATCATGAGCTGAGGAGGCATCAGAGGGCCTGGAAAGCTCCTTCCAGGAGACAAAACCGAGCTGACTTTTAGAGCTGATGGGGAAAGGTAACGTGCAGAGACAGGCTGATAGGAGATAGCATCAGGTTCCTCTGAGAAGCACAGTAGATAGAAGCACCCTGTGACAACTGGGGAGTGGTAGGAGGTGGCTTAGGAAGGGCTTTGGTCAGGGAGGGCTTGGTAGTAGGGGTGCATACTTAAAACTCCTTCACCTGGGGGAGAAGAAGAAGGATTGAGTCCTAGAGAGTAGCCTGAGCTACATAGGGAGCCCAAGGCAAGCCTGATCTATATCGTGAGACTGTCTCAAAGAACAATTAGGGGGAGGGGTTAAAAAGAAGGACTTTGTTGCTGAGCCAAGGGAAGCTAATCTGATCCCAAGAGCAATACAGGCCCACTGAAGAGTCAGAACTGGGCTAACACAGGCACCCACTCATCTTAGGCAGGCGGCTGGCAGCTAGAGAAGGCAGGCCCACGAACTGACCTGCAGGTTGTGCTGAGACAGCACAAATGATAGTGGTGAATAAAAGCTCAGAGCTACTATCAGGTCCCTTGGGCCAACAGCCATCTTCACACAAGAGAATAGTGAAAAGAGATGAGCCATGGTGCCGGCACCATGCTAAGAGGTTGGCACACACAACCCCGTCTACCACCGGCAGCCCATCCTTAGAAAGAGAGAGAAGATGCGCGGTCAGGTTAAGGAACCTGCTCAAGGATGTCACTGGATTCAAGCACAGGAGTCTGAGTCCAGTTCCCATGCTAAGCATTCCTCTGCGCTTAGGAACACTGTCTAAGGTGGGGCGGTCAGGAGGAAGAGGAAAAGGCAGATCAAGAGACCCTGGACAGGTGGACACTGTTGACTCTGTAAGACTTGAGGATGGAGCAGACAGGGAGTTGGTGATGAGGTGGACATGCCCAGGGCCTGGTTTAGATGGAGGCTAACAGAAGATGGTGCTATAGGCCCTGATAGAGGTAAGGATCTGGTGGGAAGAAAGTGTGGCCCATTTGACAGGCGCGTGAAGTGTCTGAGTAGGGCTCTCTGGACACAGAAGGGCCTGAGGCTCGGGGGCCTATTCCAGGGCAGAGAGAATGAGCCGGGTCCTGACTGAAGCCCCAGGTGTAGAGATGAGCTTCAAGGACAGCCTGCGGAGTATAAGGAGGGGCTGGAGAGGAGGAGAAAAGGGAGGAGGAGAAGGAGGAGGGGGAGGAGGAGGAGGAAGAGGAGAAGGAGGGGGGAGGAGGAGGAGGAAGAGGAGGAGGAGGAGAAGGAAGAGGAGGAGGAGGAGCAGGAGGAGGAGGAGAAGAAGGAAGAGGAGGAGGAGGAGGAGGAGGAGGAGGAGGAGGAGGAGGAGGAGAAGGAAGAGGAGGAAAGTAGAGATCAGGACGCCAGAGTGTTGAGCTGGTGGTCACTCATCAGGTGGCACCAAGAACCAATACACAACGGGACTCTGCAGACGGCTCCCAGAACTAGAACCACAGCAGTCTATCACAGGATAAGAAGCTAGGCAGCTGTGAGGAGTGGGAACCTTCAGGGACAATCCATTTAGCAGAGGACAAGCCACCCACCCTCTCTCCTCAGGCTACACTATGAGTCCCTGTAACTATTTTAGCTCAGAGGAATGGAAAGCTTAAGCCTTGGGCAAGGTGGTAGGCCTGCCCAGTACCTCACGTCCACTCCAAGCCCCTATGGTGGGCATCTGCCACTCTGAGTGTCAGGTCACCAACCGCTGAGTGTGATCTGATGAGCTCAAATCCTGGTCCCCTGTGCACGGGAAGGCAGGTGTTCATGACAGCTGAGCGGCAACATCTTAGCTCCCAGGGGCCTAGACTAGAAAGCATCCCAGAGTCTGTAAGCCCCTTTCCCAGACAAGCACACCAAGATGCAGAATGGAGAGAGGCCAGGCCCAAGTGCACACAGCCCAGGAACAGGGAACACAGAATTGAATGGTCACCAGATCTGATCGATGCACTGGGAACTATTGTTTTGGATTCTAGTTCACCCAAGTTTCTCCATGTTTAAAGAAAGCGTTTTTCAGTATGAGGTGTGTACTGAGAACAGGAGTGAGGGATGGGGCCCCCAGGGCACAGTTGGCTAGATCACATGAAGGTGATGCAGGCTTTGGTGGGAAAAGGCCAGGCCTGGAATCCTTCGATTGCTTCCCCGTCATCTAATCCCTACCTTACCTTGCCCAAAGCGAGCTGTCCGGTACACGTCCTCAACGCCATGGAAGCCCAGCATGCGGCACACGACAGTCCCATCCTTCCTGTCCCAGCCGTCGTCGCACACCGTGCCCCAGCGACGCTCATGGAACACCTCCACTCGGCCCTCGTGTGGTCCAGAGCCATTCACCAGGCGAATCATTGTGAAATCCACACCATCTGCTAAGAGAGTCACCATGACTACCTGTCTCTGGACACTCCAGGACCCCACCCAGGCCTTGTCAATGACCCCCACACCATCTGCCAAGAGAGTCACCATGACTACCTATCTCTGGACACTCCTGGACCCCACCCAGGCCTTGTCAATGACCCTCCTTCCATACAGGGAAGAGAGAGCTAGAGCTAAAGACACGAGGTCGCAGTGTGTCATTCCTGCTCCTTTTAGTCTGTTTGGTTTGTTTAGAGACAGGGTCTCATGTAGCCCTGCTGACCCTCCAAATGCTTGGATTACGGCTGTATGCCACATGGCTTTAGTTTTAGTCTTTGCCATCTCTCTTCCTGACTACTGATTTCTAAAACAGAGTTTAAGTGTATAGCAGAATTGACTCCAAAAATCTCTTCTCAGCATTGAGTGAGTTTCAACTCCCTGAACCAGTTTCTATTCATTTCGTGGATCAGACAACTAGCCACCTCTGAGAGTTACTGAAAACCCAGCTCCCACCAGCACTCAAGGGGGACATGGGATGGGTGGGGGAGTGTAATGGGAGAACAGGGGAACCTTGAAGAGGAAACTGGTGGGAAGGTGGAACCCAGAGGCTATGTGTGACCAGGGAAACTCCCTGGGGACTGTAGGGAACCCAATGACACCAGAAGTCAGGTGAGACTCTTGCCTGAGGCTTGATCTCAGACTGGCTACAGGTTTCCCCAGACCTGCCTTGCCTCGTCAACACCAGGTCACTTGAGAGTGTGTGTATCATTCTATGCAGTGAGGCTGAGAACAGAAGCCTGTTGAGGTCAGAGGTCACAAGCCAGGCAGCCTTGAGGATCAGGTGAGAGCAAGAGCAAAAGCTGGACCATGGCAAGCGGGTGGGGCTGGTGTTCAGGGAGCCCCTGACTTAGTCTCTTTGCTCTGCTTTGTCTAGACTGGCATCATTCTGTTCCCTAACTCACACAGCCGAATGAATGACTGAGCATCTGTTAGAACAGATGGATACACCCATGGATAAAGGATGTGCCTTCATGAAGCTGACAAACACCTAGGAAACAAATAGTAAAGCCAGGTGTCATGGCGTCCATCTCTAATTCCAGCACTTGGGAGGCTGAAGTAGGAGCAGCATTAGTCCATAGGCTAGCCTGGGCTACATGCTAAGAACCTGTCTCAATATATGCATTTCCAAGTGGTGTTAAGTATATAGCTAGGGACAGAAGATGGGAGCAGGGGGTGTGGAAGGTATCATCTTAGAAGTGTAGACAAGGAAGTGGGTGGAATGAGGTGAGGTGCCATCTGGAAGGATGAACAAGAGAAACACAAACACTGAGTTTTTCCTGGTAAGGTTCAGACTGCCCCAACTCAGGGACTTGGGTCCAGAAGTAGTTCCCTCGACAGTCCTTGACCTCCTGGGCTCTGAAAACGAACATGGAGGCTACAGATACACGACTTCCCTCAGTATATCTGGAGAGTCACCAAGCCTTCTGCCGAGAGTCTGTCTCTAGCCCAAGTAGAACGTCATGTCTCACTTAGAAATTTAGGTTTTCTCTGTGTAGGGGATTTCAACCCGACTTATTCCCAGCAGTTTCTTCTCCAGCCAGAGTTTTCCTATTAAACAATCTCCCATCATCCAGAAATGCTCCTGCCCCATCTTTTATAGATCAGCCTCCACTTAGCCAGATCTGGTGTCTGAGAGGCAGCCTCAGCCAGTGCTATGGTTTGAGTGCAGAATATTCCTGCAGGCTACTGAGTCTGAAGGTCCCAAGCTGGCGGTACTCTTCAGAAAGTTTTGGACTCTTGGGAGGTAATGGGAAACAAGCCTGGCCTAATGTCCTGTTTGCTCTCTGCTTCCTGATGGCAATGTGACCAGCTTGGTTCACTCTCCGACCACCATGTATTCCCCACCACGGCTTCCCTACTGTGCTGTTCCGTAGCTGGAAAACCCCCATTGCTTAAGCAATCTGAAACACGACAGACAAGGGACGTGATCTTAACTTGACAGCTTGTCCCCAACCTGCAGTTAACAGCTCTTGGGTGGAGCTCCCCCTCTGTAGCCTCCACCTTTCAAGCTTAGCTGATATACCAAGATGCTCACAGGATTGTACATCAGTTCTTTTCCCTTCTGTTCTAGGGTTGAGGATTATGGACACCACAATGCCTGCAGGTAGAGGTTTTCCCTTTTATACTGAAAAGACTGCAGTTACCCCAAGGCTTAGCCCAGAAGCATCTGTGCTTGGAAAACACTTGTCAAATAACCAGGGCAGGGGATTGGCCACTTGCAGCCATGTGGCCACCTTGCTCTTGCAGTTCAATGGGGCTCATTGTTTGCTTACAAGCTTCCAGGGATGTCAGTGGTTCTGACCTCTGCTTATGCCTTTCTACTTTGCTTCCCCAGATCCTAGAAACTGCCTCCTGTTTCTAGACCAGCTGAATTGCCTTGCACATTACCCAGGCTGCTCCTGGTGAGGGCTCCTATAGCCCTCATCCACGCTGAAAAAAGCCTTAGGGTTCCTACACCCAGACCTCCCTCTCGAGTCAAAATGGAAAGGGCCACACTTGGGTCAGGTCATGGAGAAACGAGTGGGTCCGGACTAGAAAGTTCTGCAGTTCCCGAGGCTGTGGAGGGCAACATCTTGCTGCCGCTTAGCCTTGGGCTTCAGATGTCCCATCATGTAGCGCATGGAGCTATCTTAGTTCATGGGGACACATCAGTGAGCTTTTCCAATCATCACAAATGATTGGCCAAGATTTTGAGATGACACAAAGCCTTCATGTGACACACGAGGGGTCAGAGTTGCAGAGAGGGGATGTGAGTTATCCAAGCCATCCATGTGAGTAGGAGAGCAGAGATCTGTCTGCACTGGGGGCTTAACCAGTGCTGTGCTCTTTTCTGTCTCAGAGCTGTCCGTTCTTCCTGAGATCTGCACGGGGTAAGGGAAGGACACAGCAGCCTCGGCACTGGAAGAAGCCAGGTGCGTTGGTCCCTCTCCTGTGCATCACCTGTCCCTTTCTTATAAAAGATCGGTACCTGCATTTCTATTTCCTATTGCTCACTTAGCTCTCCATCCAGATGTGCCTCTGGAACTCCCAAGCACATTCCTAGGTTAAAATGGATTCCAAAGGACTGTGGAAACAAAAGCATTGTCTTCTGCCTTGAGTTACTTAGGCAAACCAACAGATGAAAAGGAGGGGACCATAGAGGGTGCCAGTGACGGCAGGGGACTCAGGGATGCCCCAGCCACCCCCACCCCCGTGCAGAGATGAGGAAACTGAGGCAGAGGGAGCAGTTCTTTCCGGGAGGCCAGGCCTCCCTCTTCCCAGAGCACCACTTTTCTTCACTCCCAGCACTGGGCCATCCCACCAAGGGAAGCTGGTGACAGTTAACTCTGGAGGTCCAAGGCGGGGCTGGTACTCCTCCATGCAGAGGGCGCCACTAGAGGTTGCTCCAGGAAGCTCCAACCTCAGGCCTTATGTGTTTCCCCTACTTCCCCTGCTGTGACAGTCCTGGATGCCCAAGCACTGATCCGGTTCAGCTGTGAGCACTAAACAGGTCTGATGGCCAGGGCTGCATGGGTGGATATATTTTTCATGAGTGAGCCCATCTGAGTACCTCACGATTCCTGTCTCTCTTTTGTACTCATCTTAACTTCCAGGGCCTGGCAAGCCAGCAACAGGGACATGGGTGTATGGTCCCATCATTTCTGAACACAGTGTTAGGAGACCATCCTAGGCCATGCCCTGTAAAACACGGTAGCTGTGCCTCTGAGGCAGCAGCTCAGGTAGGGAGGAGAGGAACATGTCTGGGGAAAGAGCTAGTTGGGCAGGGTCCACCAGGGCAGGCAGCTAGGGTTCTTTTGGATCTGATACATGAGATCCTCCACCTCACTCCTTCACCGCCACTGTCATTTCCCAGTTGATGAGAGGATCAATGGTAAAAGGTCTCTTCCAGGCAAAAGCCAAGCCAGGCCCCTTTGAACCCTCCTTTTAACTGCACTTCAACCTTGCCCTAAGAGGACTTCAAGAAGACATAGATATCATTTCCAACAACTCAAAGTCAACGCCCCAGAATGACTGCACCCAGCACGAAGGCGCCATCAGAGCCACAGCAAGTTCCTGGAGCAGCCTCGCGCTCTCCCAGGCGAGTACTAAGGGCAAGACCTCTATGTTCTGCATTTGTCCAACAAGAGCCACCTGCTTTGATAACCATCAGTTACCAAACCCATATGGGCCGCCCTGGCACTACTCAACTTCCTTCCTTTTGTAACTCCCATCTCCCGGCCCTGCCAAGCCCTGCACCTCCTTCTTGGCCCCTCTTGCCTTTAGTGCATGTCACTGCTGTCCAAATCAATAGAGAACTCACTTGATGCCAAATTCTTTTCCCTGTGGCAATAGTGACTGATGTTTGGATCTGCTCAGTACCTTGCCACCAGTGCCAGTTTGACTTTGCCAATTCATGTGGTAAGGCTGTGACATTTGATAAAACGATCAAGGGGTGTGCTGTTCCCACAGCCCGTGGCATTTCCTTCTATGTGGGAAAGGTCCAGAAGAGAGGTTTAGCTCGGAACATCTGTCCAAGCCACTGTAATGAAAATTCCAGAATCACTTAGAATCTCTCAAGAATATGAGCTGGCAACTGTGGAGAGGGGGAATTGGAGGCAGGAGCAACAAGTCTGAGAATCAGGAATTGGCGTCCCCAGGCCAAATCTGAGATGAGACACTAGACCAGCTGACCCCTTAACTTACAGCAGTGGCCCAGAGCCTCCTTGGGTTCCTTCATTCCTGACTGTACGAGACTTGCCAATATGATGGGCCTTTTCCCAGAACCATTATCTAAAGTGACTCAGATGACTCCGATGTCTCCCAGAAACAGCTGAAGAGGACAGAACGTGGAGCAAGGCCACACCCACCCGAGGGTTGACCTGCCTCAGAGAACTCCCTTTGTGAGCAGAGGTCTCTGCATAATGTCTAGCAGGTGGCCCTAATCACAGAAGTGGGCTGCCTCTGCCTTCAGGGC